ACCAGGCCGTGTGATTGACGGCGAGTCAGCACTTTTTCACCTGTTTGATTCTTTCCACCAAGAATCCAAAGGCTTCAACAGTTAACTGGCTTTCTTTGGTAAGAGCACATTCATGCTAGCTAACCTAAATCCTTTGGTAGTTCTCGAGTTACATAACTGTTCACATTAATACTGATTTAGAGTCTTTTAGCCTCATTTGAGATTCGCCATTTAACGTTTCATATTTGAGGATCTGCAATAACACCAACACTGCTTTTTTAACCAAATGGCAAATTTAGACACTTGAACCCAGATGTGAAGGAAGCTGACACGCCTCCTCACAGCACCACTGTCTTTATTTATCTACATGCCTAACTACCAGAATATTTAGCTGTCATCTGAACAGCTACTGTATCTGCTTCTCTCTGTTTTTCACACCTGTAACAGCCAATGAAATTCTCAATTTAGTGTTAATCTTAATTATAAGCAACATTGTAAAGACAGTTCTTAGTTTATTGTTTTTAGATACCATGTTTGCAGTAAGGTGTCATTAAAAATCTGATATTGTGACAGCTCCAATTCAGACAAAATAAAGTAACAGAGAGCAGAGTTTTGATATTCATAATGTAGAATCACATAGCCAGAGACTCAACTTATTACCCAATAAGGTGTTTTCATCAGATTTTGAAGAGGAAACAAGGATTTGATTTCACTTGTTATGTCGATGTTTGGTAAAAATATGCAAGATTGCCTTAAAAAAGCAACACTGAAAGTTAAATCTAATATGTTGAGGCTCTGGAGAACAAAAGACGTTGTGCAGACCAGGTGTCGGGCTATGTGAGACTACTTCTGCAGACAAAAAAGGAGATTAAGAACACAGGGTAAGATAGGTGGAGGCAGTGCTATCCTGCAGCGAGTGGCAGGGAAGGTGGCTCCTGGGCATGTTGAAGCAGCAGCTGCATGGCGGTCAGCAGGAGTGAGATCCATCTCTTTTTCTCCCTCTCTTTCTCTCTTTGCTGGGTTGCAAAGGTGTAGATGGAAGAAAGTTGCTGTGCATGGCCAGCCTGACGTTCTCTGCTCTCTCACTGTCCCTCAATGTGTCTCTCTCTCTTTCCCCACAGTAGGCAGAGGTGCAAGATTGTCAGAGGTCGGAAATTGGCTGATATGAGAGTGTTTTGATTGGAGATGTAGAGGCAGGAGGCGTAGGAGTCTCGGTGTGATGGAGAACTATGTTCCGGGACAATTTTCAGGACTACACTGAATCCACAGTCAGAAACGGGCAAATAACAACTGAAGATTTGATTCACAAATCACTAAAAGGTTTCCTAAAAGAGCTGTAGCGAAGGTGAATATGTCCCCACAGAGAAGTCATGCTGAAAACAGTCCTACCTTCAACATTACAGCATCTCAAGTATTGCAAAAAGACAGGAGCAGCTCAAAAAGTCGACCTGTCTGAGTCTGACTGTACGACTGAAGTTAAAAGGGAGACTTTGACCTACCTCGTCTGACCAGGTATGGTTTTGTGTAGTCCCAGCTCTCGTTGTCATTCTTAATAACATTCAGACGCGTTGGCTGTTGAAAAGAAAGATGAAAAAAACGATTCAGGATCTAGCAGGATGGATCTGTGACACCAAGGAGAAAACTCCAAACACTGCAGTGCATCAACAGTTTATGAGTTTGTCACATATTTGTGTACCTGTACAGTCATTTCATGACAAAGTGCACAAAAAGAAATTAACCAATTTAATTTATTCATTTAAATTCTAAAATGTGTTTTGAAATGTGCAAAATTTAAGAGTAACATTCGAGATTTAGTTCTGGTGGGTATTCATCCTACCAGTAAGGATCTGTTACTGGTTATACTATAAACAGGTTCAGTACACTTGATTTATTTGCCATATAAAACTAACTCAGGTTGGTAGAAAGTAGATTTAACATTCTGAGTATCGTTCGCAGGAAACCTTGCAGTCAGGGTAAATCAGTGCTGTCTACATGGCACAACAACACTGTGGATGCTGCTGATGTTTCTCTTACCCTTGCATATTCAATCTTTAGTGTACAGCAACCTGCATAGATGTCAGCTCCATTCAGAGCTGCTTTCGCCTTCTGAGCACACTGAACTGACTCAAATCTGGAGAAGCTTGGTTAAGGAGAGGACGTTCAAACACAGATACATAAATGACATACATTTACAGACACTTATGCATAGCTACATTCAATAATCACAATGAAACACATAGAAACATTATTCCTTCCTCTGCATCTTCCTCACTCTTGTTGGGACTGTGGTTAATCCTGCACTTCTCCATGGCAACAGCAGCCTCTTGTGACTGTGAGGGCTTGTTACTAGTTTGGTTCAACTGTTGACCATGCAGCAGACCAGACAGCTAACCTGCCGGTTAATTAGACACATTTTGCTGCATTTATTTGTTGTTTCTTTCTCTTTTTCTGGCTTTTCAGCTCCACCTTGTTCAAAATACACTCCGTTCTACAAGTTGTGTGAGTGCACAGCAAAGGTAGGTACTGTTAAGAGATTTGAGTAGGAAACACAGTGTCAGTAATGGAAATGAAAGAATGGGCTGCTGTAGCATGTAGGGCTGGTGTGCACCATCCCTTCAATTTACACATCTGACCAAAAGTGTGTCACCCCACTGGTCAAATGTCCAGTATGCCAGATTACTGGTCCAGCCTATCCAAGCTAAAACCTATCCGGGGTGGTATACTCAAGGACTCTGAGCACGCCTGCTCTCGTCTGATCTGGGAAGCTAAGCAGGGTTGGGGCTGGTTAGTACTTGGATGGGAGACCGCCTGGGAATACCAGGTGCTGTAAGCTTGGGTGGGGGTGGAGCAGGTCATCTACTGATTGGAAGGTTGGTGGTTCGATCCCTGGTTCGCCCTAGTCTAGGCAAGATACTAACCCTAAGTTGCTCTCTGATGCATCCATCTGTGTGTGAATGTTAGTGAGCACTTAAAATCACAGAAGAACGTGAATGTGGCACGCTGTATTACGTTCTTTGAGGACTCTGAGTAGAAAAGAATCAGACCAGTTACTGTAGGACAAAAGGCCGGATACAAACTGGACCGGTCCCAGTCTGTTACAGACACTTGTACGGGCAATTTAGAACCACCCACTAACCTACCCCTACTGTGACATAAGACAAACACAATCCAATTTACATCTAGTGACCAACAGAATATGAACATGGGTTTCTGTGTTGTGTCTAAGAGTCTTGTCTTCTACCCCCCTCAGAGTGTTTCCAAAGCTCTCTGTTTTAGGATCCTTAAGCATGAGGGTTATGAATGATAAGAAAGAATGGAGCCCTGCATCAGACTGGCGACCTGTGCAGGTGTACCCTGCCTCTCGCCCTGTGGTAGCTGGGATAGGCTCCAGCCCACCACCGACCCTGATAAGGAAAAGTGGAAAAGAAAGGATGGATGGATGACGGAAGAAAAGCACTAAATGATTCATGTCAAATAATGCATGAAAACATATCTCTCTGGATGAGAGTCAAGGATACAGTCAACCCTTGAACCCACAAATTGTGAAAAACTGCAGATTTTGGATGTGGTCAGAAATGCCTGTTTTTATAGTTTAAACACTAAATGTGAATTTGGGTGGGATCTTAGGGCTTTCACAAAAACATTGCCGTGTCCAAATTCATAGGCTGCATCCTCCTGAGGACACGGCCTTCGCGGTCTAGGTGCGCCGGGTCCTCCGAAGGCCGGGTAGGCCGGAAGTGAACAACTGTGAAATTGGACGGTCAAGCCTTCAGATCTGCGTCACCGCGCTCTTAGTGGCGTTTAATGAACTCGGCCGTCTGCTCCTTGCTGAGTAAAGTATAACAGGACACTGGAGTAAACTCTCGACCATCTCACACTTCTGTTTAATCAAATTTCTGTTTGACGTTTATTCAGCTGTGTGAAACTAGAACTTTGATCTCAGCCAAAGCGATTTACTCAGGAACAAATAAAAGACTGTTCTCGCCGGCTCTAGTGAGGCTTGAACCCCCGGCTAGCTATCGAGCTGGTGGGTAACAGACATCTCGGAAAACGTGGGAGCGCTTTTACAAATATGTGATGTCTTGATAAACCGAGCAGATATTTGAAGGTTACACAGCTACATTCTGAAAATATCTTAAAAGTTTGTTTTGTGACCCAGAAACAGTAATAAGAGTAATATTAAAACTAAGTAGCTGCCGCCATTGTTGGAAACCGAAATGGGCTTTGAATTCTGGGATAGGTTGGGGAACGAAGGATACACCTGTATCGCGTCACCGTGATGTAATCGGCCTACAAATGCGGCCCCGGGAGGATGCAGCCCATGAATTTGGACACCCCCCATGAGAACACTCGGTGAAACACTGAAGATAGCTACATGTGGTAAACTGTTATGAACACACAAATTCACCCACTCAGCAAGGATACTCCACCATGGCTTGGATTCCATTTCGTTTAAAGATGACGATCCTTAGCACACTGCCAATGGGGTTACACACAGTGTATAGAACATCCTGCATCAATTTGGACACACACACACACACACACACAAAGACAAAATGCAGCATTAGGGTTAATCTATGAGTTTCTAATGGTGAGATGAAGGTGAAGACATGTAACTGGAGCAGTAATGGTTTTGTTTTTGTATTTTTTACGTATATATTTCTTTATAGCCACATCACGATGGCAATCATGACAAATATAACTGAGACACCTGATGTAGCAGGAATTACACAAACACATTCTGGTGTAACGTTTTGGTTAAGTTAGGTACAGGCGACATATGTTGAACATAAATTTTAAAAATATATGCAAATGGAGATGGTAACATCACACTTGCAGGGATGATGAAAACAAAAATCTAAAGAATTGATGTTTGTGCAAAGTTCTGCTCGGATTGCTCCTCCATCTAAAGAAGACAGACGGTATGACTTAATTATGAGTTATAAATTATTAAAAAACACGCAAGGTATAAACCACATCCATCAGCTTATCATAAAGACTATGAGTTATTGTTCGAAGAAGAAGGTACACTTAACAAGCTGAGATGTCCCTCTGGATGTGTGTTTACCGTTGTTATAGGGTAGAGTGGGTTCTGTATGGACAGCAGGAGGACTTTGTTCCCACTGTTGGGGTTGTCAGCATTTGTAGGCCTGGTGATTCTTTTGGATGTGGAATAATTAAAGTATGCTTGTTGACCTGATGACAAAATGAAAAATATAAACACAAACAGTATGCTACATTTGAGTACATGTTACCAATCAATTTCATAAATAATGTATCGCAGTAAAAAGGAATGGAAGCAAAGACCTGCGATGTATACTGGCTCCTTGGCTCCACAGGACACACAGCGGTCTGCACTCTCCACTGCAGAGAATTCCACCAAGGCCTGACGCTTGAATGGCATCATCATCACATAACTGAAAACATACGCACAAACACCTGGATAAGACATGAACTGCTGAAAACT